AGGCGAAGTATGCACTCCATACATCAGCTCTGAAGACTAACTAGCAGACATCTTTACAAAAGGGCTAAATCATTCCAGACACCAAGGTCTCTGTGACAAGTTGGGCATGATTGATATCTATGCTCCAACTTGAGGGGGAGTGTTGACAGGTGTATTATATGTACTGTATGCAGGTTTAGTGCCTGCAAGGGTATTTTTGTAATTTTATAGTCCTTTTGTGTTGTACGGCCAATATAGTATAAATACAAATGCTTCACTCGCATAAGCAATTCTTTTGAGGCCTTAAGTCTGCAGCCTCTTCTCTCTTCTTCTTCTTCTTCTTCTTCTTCTTCTTCTCTGCTCAACAAACCCTTTGTAAGTTAAAAACAGGAGAGAAACCAATCACTATCATTTGCTACAAGCACCAAAGAATGTACCTGTGCTTCCAGCTTATTCGGAATTGTTTCAAATGCAATTAGGTCAGCACCTGATTCTGCTAAAACCTGAACCTTTCTCCTATGAAAATCTTTCAAAGTTGCTAGAGTAACTGCACCACCATAGTCCCCACTGCAAAACGACACAAGGAAAAGAAGACATATATTAACATGAAAGTTTAAATAGAACCTAACATGAAATTAGTAAAGCCATAATGATACAGCACATCCTGGAAACAATTTATTGTAGTACTACAAGGGCTGCAAATAATTAGATAATTACATAATATGAAACATATATTTACCATTTATAAATAAAATGATAAAATCTAACATGAAATTTAATGATACACCATGGTAACAATTTAAGAGCCCCAGTGGGCAGGTACTAATTTAATATAGTACTACGGGGAGTGTGTATCATTGGATGATGAACAGTGAAACAGAAAATAAAGGTGGAAATTAGAACCGTGTTAAGAGTATTCAATTGGTAGAATATATGACCTTACATAAAATGAGAAGCTATTAAAATCCTATGGCAGAAATATATGACATTAAATAACATTATAATGCTATATTTTGCTATATTAGGCTACTTGTCTTCTCTGGCTGAAAATCAGCACACTTATCAGATACACTTTTACCATTCCAGCAGGTTTTCTTTCCCTTTTATTACTATAGTTTTCCTATTACAGGCTTGGACAGTTACTTCTTAATAGATTTAAGACAACCGTATAGGTTGTTTATACAAGTCACAAGTGAGGATCTCTATCAGTTCATCTTTTTTTTTTTTTTTTTGATAAATATCTCTATCAGTTCATCTTCACCAAATGGATGCTGTAACTTGTGACAAACCACATCAATCTTCTGTTCTATTCGTGTGTTCTCCCCTCTTTTATCCATTGCTATCAACAGCTAACCCTAGGATTGTGTTTTTGGACAACACAATTTGCAAACAAATTCTATTTAGAGGATGCATTTTTCTGAACTTGGGAAAAAGCAATATTTTTTTGCTTATTACTGTCTACACCATCCATGTTCCCATTTTAGATTAGAATGTGTCCCTCTGTAAACATCAGTGTCCCAACTACAGCACAAACATCTTGCAAAGAACAAAAAGGGTACATGAAAGGAAAACAATAAAAGAGAGAAAATCACCCATATTTGGTGCTAGAGAACAAAAAGGGTACAGAAATGGAAAAATGTCACACATAGAAACATGTGATCCATATGGTGATGTAGGTAAAGATGGACAACCAACTGAAACCGAATGGTCTTGCATCTTGGACCATTAATCAATTGAATAACATAAGAATAGAGACCACCAAGCATCAATTAATGCAAATGGTTCCGTGAGTAGTTTTTTCTTCAGAAGTTATAACAGTGAAAAGATTTGTTTCATAGAGATGACAATTAAATTTAAAAACATTAAAAAATAACCTACAGAAAGAGACATTTTTTTAGGAACCATAAGCCCAATGAGATCTAAGCATGAATACCTTTTAGTAACAAGCACACAATTTTCCAGAATTACAGAAATGCTAAAAACCCACACTCCATCTGGAACTCTRCACCTCTAATTTCAAACAAATAATTCAAAAGAGTCTTTCAGATTACAGAAGTGCATTAGAGAAATAAAACCATCACCAATCTAAGTGAAGCAATAATTTCCTTATCAATTTATTGAGAACAGTCCAAGCGGAAACTGATCTAGCTAGAGAGATCTTTCAGAAACAGACTTGGTGGTTTAACCTATTAAGGTCTCCATCATTAGCAGAGTTTATTGTTGACTCAGTAGAGAGTTGACCAGTACAGAAGAAAAGGAAAGCTGAGAAGGAAATGTATCAAAGCTGACCTGTACAAATGGACAGAAATGGAAAAATGTCACACATAGAAACCTTCCAGTTTAAACTGATTAATACAATTGAACAACGCATTTGCTTAAGATGGTTGAAATCCAATGATATAACACAATGACTAACAAAATATCATTACAAGTGTCAAAATATCAAAGCTGAGAAGGAAATATGAAGTTTCCCATTCATCAGCAAACTGCATGAACTTTTCATCTAGGAAACATCCAGGAAAACCGATGATCTTCTAAGATAGAAGCATATCAAGGCAAACATCCAACCTCTTAATAATTATGACCATCTCAGATGGTGAAAGATTTACTATATTTGCAAAAATATAGATGGCAAAGCATTAAATGACTCTCATTTCAGCATTTAGGAAGAATCAAGTGTTAGTTAGCCATTTACAAAACAAATGTACAGTTACTATGGGGAAATGCACTCTATGATGGATTAATTAAGTTGCTATTTCACTAAAGAAATATTTTTATTTTATTTCATAAACCTCACAAAGATCAAATGAACACAAAGCTCATAAAGAACAAATGGAAGTTCGAAATTTAGAATGTTATGTAGATTAACAGCCCAAAGGAACCAAGGAATGACAACAACCAAATCACAAGGTATCAAGTCTCTGAGATCTTCAGATGAACCTTATTCCCTCGGCTTCATTGTGATCACAATATCTCACATCCCCTCGCCATCTTAAGACATGAGTAAGTAATAATCCCCCTCTCCTTCAGAAAGAAAAAAAAAAGGCAAAAGTGGTTATCAAAAGTAAATATTAGTTTTTTGGAAAGAGAATAATAGTTTGTGGCATTCTATTATGAAAAGTAAGTATCGTCTTTCAAATAATAGTTGGGCTTTAAGGTATTGCAAATGTCTATTGGTCCATATGCATCAAAATTCAATGACAACTAGACAACCCTCACTAGTCTAGCATGCTTTCCATGGAAAGGGCCACCAGAATTAAATGACGACTAGACAGCTTTCTCTCTTGTCCATATGCATCACTTACTGAGATATTGGAGAAGGGTTAAACTTAATGCTGCAATTCTAAGAGAAGGGTTGACAATAATCTGTTTGACTGTAAGTAATAGACCTAGGTGTATAAATGAAGTCATTAGTAGTTCAATAAAGACCAGGATCACTTCCTGAACTCTGTTCTTTTGACTTAAATCAGAAATTGACTAGAGTTCAGTTTTGTTATTTGCAATATGAATATATCAGAAATTGACTGAACTAATTTTTGGATTACTGTTCATGCTACAGAAATCTTCCTTACTAGAGTCAAGTAATCCTGGACTCTTTATCTTCTTTACTCTTTTATTGAATATAAGAGAGGATCCCTACCGTTTCTAATTTTGTGGGTTAGATATTATTGACCCATGGCTCAGTGGCAAAAACACAGCCTTTTCCCTGACTTTCTGTTTCTCTATTCTTTTCTGTCAAACTAAATGCAGCCTTAGATATCAACTTACATTAGGGAATGCAGATTAGATAGCTTTCATGAATGATATCACACAGTTTAGTCTGGAAACCCAACTCTAGTTGAGTTTGAACCAGTCTTGCATGGACAAAGAAATGTTGCAACACCCGATCATCGTCAATGGTCATGTATGTGGTTACCCCACAAATTATTTGAGGGTGATATCAGTGGAGCCGTTGAGGGAACTGAAAACAGAAAATGAATGCATGAAGATATCTTGCAAAAACAACTACCATTTCTATTAGACATAGTGCAAAACCTAGGTCATGAAGTACTTTCCATTTCAAGATTTAAAAATCAACTAGGGCTGCCAAACTTCTATGCTCTATTAATTAACTGTGAAGAGAGGAGAACAGGTTTGCATGAGAGAGAGAGGGGCGAGATGCGTTTAGTGCTGGGTTTGGGAGAGAAGAGGAAAACAAGGAAAAGATGTTAGGTCAGTTGGTACAATCATTGGAATTGGACTGGGAATATGTGGGAATGCATTGCTTTCATCTTCCTGAATTTCATCCAGTTCACTCTTGTCTACATCCTGCATTTTATTTGAATTCTAGTATTAGAGCAGGGTTTAAGCAAAAAGCCTTACTTTGAAGGTAAATTGCAGGTCTTTGGGCATCACAAAACATATTCATATGAAATACCTGCTTCATTGGCATGGAACAAAGTTCAGGGGAGCATGCTCTCTGTGTCCATTCAAACATCTCACTATCAAAAGCATGTGTGAATTTGGTTGCACTACACAATTCCCCCTTCAAAAAAGAATGGAAAGAACCAGCCACAAAAATAAAATATAAGAAATCATATAGGCTGAACCCAATTAATAGAATTGAGTTTACAAAGTAAACTCAGTGAAATTTGATTTCAGTGCTCAGTGGAATTTGATTCAGATTTAGTAATTAGTGGTTTATTTATGTGAATGGTGGAATTTGATAAATAATGAGAAATATTTCTATATATTGCTTGTACAGTTATAATTGAAGAGTTAATAGATAATGATAAATGACCAACAATAAAATGATCGATTAGAAAACTAGGAAAGAATTTAATATAAGTATGTCAATTTATTTTTAATTGAAATATTGATAACCTAAATGAAAGTGAAAGGAACTATTCAGTAAATGCTTAAGGGTTTGAAATTACAAGTATTGAAAAAAGTATATACATCAAATTTGGAATAAAATATAAGAAAGTATAGAACTTGGATGTTGTGGGTTTGAAATTACAAGTATTGAAAAAAGTAGGAATATGACTCTGAACTAAATGTATGTCCAAATCAAGCCTTCTAATTTGCAGATCCATACATATAATGACTTTCTAGTTAGCAATGTCTGATGGCATGCTTTGAAATTGATTGATGTCAAGTAGTGCTTACAAATAGGATGTTTGTTAATTAATTAGTCAAGTGATGAGTTGAGAGAAGCTAGAGTACTGGGTTGTTTGGTACCTACCAAACTTGAGGCCTGAACAGTGGGACTGTTGAGAAAAACAGAAAGAAAAAGATAATTAACATGGCTTAATTTCATTTTAATCTGTATAACTTACCAAGAAGAGTTACAATTATTGATCTATATATGGGACATGTCTGTTTTACCCATCAACGATGAAGGCTAGCTCTATTAATGATTTAATTCTGGTTTGTGGTGGTGAAATTTGCTGTTGTGACTGTCTGCTTGTAGAATACCTCCTGGTCATAAATTTCTGCAGTCAATATCTTTTCAGTCCCATTCTCATATATTCTCCCAATACACCATTAATTGAACATAGCATGACCAAAGTAATCCACACAAGGTC